ATATGTCAGTAACAGCCCTAAATTGAAACAACGCTAAATACTCAAGTCAAATTAACTGTTACTGCTACTGGAGTAACATTAAGTTAACACAGAAGTAACTTGAAAGTTTTTGAGATAATAAAAGCAGATAAAACATAACACAAACCCAGGGTTTTATCAAAACAAAACATGTTACAAGGACAGCGGTGATGCTCATGTTCCAAACAATGCAACCATCTTGCAAATGTTGATGTGCAAGATCCAGATACTCATAGCTCTATATTTACACACAGGCTTGCACAAGTAGACCAACTGTGAAGTATCTGTAGAAAAAGACTCTGATCTCCCTATGACCTGTGAAACACCGCTTTAAAATATCTTTTGTTGGTGATGAAAGGCTATTCCATAGATAGAGTTACAGTTACTGGTTCTGTGGATTCAACATTAAGAAGCCCTGAGAAAAGCCTGTTCAGTAGCTCAAACCAACTACAAACTCAGACCTTTTGCCGATTTTTTTTTTTTTTTTCCCCTGTACGCATGCAGGTAATTAGTGTTTTTCCTTAAACAAACATGTATTAGATCATACATTATAAGTGACTGTGCGTGTGCAGTGTAAATATAACCACCAAGTACCCAAAAATACTGTTAACAACCTTTCCTTTAGAATGCAAATACAACGTGGCAACACGAGATTAATATAGATCCTAAAATATCATGCACAAGATATTCAAGTTTCTTAAGACAACAAAATTGGCAATAAAATATTGTCAAACTATGTTTTGTTGGTAAAAATAGCTCATTTTTCAAATGCAGTTCTCTGTAAATGTAGAAAAACTGTAACTGTCTTGTATATACCATAAGCTATTTATCTAAAATGGTACTGTCAGTGAAACAGATGTCATTGCACAATATCCCTGTGCCACCCACATTCTGTTCTAGTTGCAAAACAGAACTGTTTTGAGTTATTTACTGAGTGATCAGATTCAAGTATTTATGCAATGATCGTCACACTACATTAAAGAAGTACTTTGAAATGTAATGTCACATGATGTTCTACCATGATCTAGTGTATTCAACATGCATTGACCGTTACAGACTATGAAGAAAAGACTAAAACTGTAGAAGCTCAAAAAAGTCTTATTTTTAAGAACATTGTACATTTCCTCTCCTTGTCCATTATATTCAGTTTCAAGCCTCTGCTTTTAAACACCTTCACATAACTGAAGATGGTGTATAATTAATATCAAAGTTTCCTCCCCAGTCCTAAAAACTCATCTGTTCTTTGCATGATAACTACATAAAAATCATGTCACAAAATAAGGTAGGCTAGAAAGGACTTTTGGAGGTATCTGGTGGTGGATCACACTACCTACTGTAGGGCCCATTCAGGGCAGCCCACAGGGTGTGGTGTCACTTGTCAGGGACTCAACTTGGTCTGCATATGCCACCCTACATTGTAGAATTTCACCACCTGGTTTTTCATGCTGTCTTGCTTCTTCATATTTCATAATTTTTTAATCTATGTCACATGATCTCTGGAGTCCATCAGTGTCAGACTGCCATCAGGCTTCTTTGAAGGTCAGACAAGGCGTGAGACTATCCACAGTTCAAACAGGACCTTGTCAATGCACCCCATGGACTCTAAATGCAAAAATCTTGTAGTCTGTTCTCATCAGTGTCACCAAATTGCTGCCAAAATTCAAGTTACCAAATTTTCTCAACCTTACCCTTTAAGAACCCAGACTTATTTGGTTTAAAGCTTTTGGAGGAAAGTAGTGAGCACAATGAAATTCATATTGAGTACCCTATCTGCATTCACTTTGTACAAGTAACTGACACAGTAAAGAAAATAAGATCAGAAAAAGTTAAGTTTGAATATTCACAGTTTTCTAGTGCAAAAAAAGTGCTTCAATTCTTGAAAACAGAGAAGAGAGAAAGGAACCTAAAAGACATCTAGAGATACTTATGACTTCTAGCAACACAATGAATATATTCAGAGCAAACGACGGCTAAGCAGAAAAATTATTTCAGATTTAAGAACTTTTTCTCATCAGAAATACTGTCCTTCTTGAGAACATAAAACTTTCTTCAACTTTTCAAGATGATTGATAATAAAAGTACTAAAATTAACATTAAAATACATTTTAGTATTGAAAGAGGTTTTGAATCTTATCAGATTTTTACTCCTTGATATTTATTTGCTATTAAGTCACCTAACCCTTCAACTATCCAGCTTCGTGATGCCTTATTTAGTCCTCTCAACTTCGCTGAGCTGCTCTCGGATTACGACACAAAGTCCTAAATGTAAATATGGCAGGCACAGTTTTTTAGCAGAATGCTTGCCAGTTTGGCAACAGCAAAATCAACAACAGGTAGGCAGAAGGGGTATTGGTTAGAGGAAAGAAGAGAATTTTCTATACACGCCTGAAATAAAGTTACTTCAGGACACTCTAGCCCACTGATTCCAGAGAGCTGCCAAGCAATTCTCTGTCCTAATGGGGGGCAAGAGCGAAAACGTTTCCATTAGAAACAACTGAGGTTGCAAATTCTGCATTTGATATACTAATTTGATTATATACAATTTTTCTGCATTGACACAGCACACTCTTGAGGACTGGAACCAATCTAGTCTAGCAGCTAACACTGTAGAAATTAAGCATCCTTTGCCACCAAAAGCCACTTCTGCAATATTGTTGTCTCTACTGGTTACAAAATAAGCACCCATGTGCCTTGCATTCACTACTAAGTGCCAGATCTCAGACTACAAAAACATTTTATCCTTTGCTTTAGGCAACAGCTTTCGAGCTAAAAATCCTAGGCATTTCTATCAGGCTTGGGATTATATGCTTATTTAAAAAAAAAAAAAAAAAAAAAAAAAAACAACCACACAAAACCAATTATCTCATAACAGTAAATGAACGCATAACTTTGGTGAGACTCTCTCCCAAGAACATAAATCTGTGACATCCTTGCTATCAGAAAACCAGTTCAGTCACCCTCCTACGTGCAGTTCAACTGAATAGTAAAATAATTCATAATGAATTATAATTTCAAAGTGTTAGCTGAATATTCAAAAATCTGCCTTTACGGCATGGCTCATAGAAGAAACACATGGTCTGATAGCTTCAGAAGCTATTTTCCCCAAGAAATGGAAAATACATATTAGCTAAACTGCAACAAAATTAGAGCATATCTTTCATCCCCCTCTATTATTCAATGATTTGCTAATACATCATTTTATTATTTTAATTAACATCACGTCAATCCATGAAAAATATATGCCTGAAACTTATGAAGCAAAGCTTGTATTTTTAGGAAAAATAACCCACTTTTCTGTATTTTTTCACCCCATCTGAATTCTGTGCACCTCTAATATGAATAAAGTATAAGAAAAAGTAATTAATATATCAAACAATAAATGAGTGCTTCTAAAGATATCTTTTAAAATCAAGTCCATCTAGAGTACTTCAAATCATCTGCAAGCCATATTGAACATAATAAATGTTTATTCTTCTATTCAGCTGAAAATAACTGAGCGCTTACCATGGTATACAGCTACTTTATCCTGCTGTTTAGCCTGGACAACCCAAAGCAGTTACTTTTCTTACTGACTGTTATTTAAGACCAGTTACAGATTCATGTTTCCTTCAAATCTAGTTTATGGACTGATGAAGGCGCATTAAACAGTTGCTTCATATACCATAGTCTCTTCCTATCATTACATATATTTAGCACAAACTGTCATCACTACAATACATTGTGAAATATTATATTATTTAGAAGCTAACTAATGTAGTTTAAAAAGTCCTTGATTCATTATGGCAAATACTTTGTTGCTGTTGACCCTTCTTTTAATTTACTTATAAAAGCCCGATTATGCATTTTGAGAAAGATGAAGATGAGTATGCTGATTCTGGAAAAGAAACAGAACAAAAAGGAAAATATAAACTTAGTAAGTGTACAGGAAAATTAAAACCCAGAGAATTTTCTGGTTTTATTTTTGGTAGACTTTTTTTGTGGCTTGTCCTAAAAATGAAAGCACCTGTCCATACTGCTAAAACATCAATCTCTCTTTTCGAAGTTAGACATATAGACAGAATCATGTTTCCCGAGAGTCACAGAGAAGTAGCCCCTCTCTACAGTTATATGTGCTTCATCTCTCTATCCACTTCTTTATACACCTGTACACATGTATCAGTGGATTGTGTCTCTTCTGAACCACTCATACAGGGCTGTTAAACAAAAGTAACAAAACAATGAACAGTTCCCTGAGACTCTGGATAAATAAGATATTTAAATTTCAGTATTAAATATCCAATTAACATACTGCTACATACATAAATATTTATAGGTTTAGCTTCATAAGTTCCTTAAATATAGCCTACTTTAAGAAGACAGCTTTTTAAAAGATGATAGTAATTGCCATCAAGCCTTCTGTGCATAAATACCCTTCTTTCCTTGTGGCCAGGTATTAGGCCAAAAATTAATTTGCTTTGGATTTTTCTCATGTAACTGCCACTAATTACATCTGGAAGTTAATACTGTATATCACCATCAGTAGATTAAAAACATGTATAAAAATGCCTTTGTATATTTTTCTGATTTGCCTTTTTTTTTTTTTCTTCAGAAGCATTGGAAGTCTTTAAAAAGTCTAATTTTGTCCCAAGATCCTCCCCAGATATTGCTTAACCCAAAAGCTCAGGGAAAAAATAGTAGCTATATATCACAGACCTCATCAATGTGCCAAAATGCTGAGTAAAGTTTTGTCTTTTTGCTGGTATTTTTTCTTGCTTTCTGTGTGATTTGGATCATTCTGAAGTTAAAAGCTATTGATTTACCAGAAGGCCACCTCATGTTTTATATTTTCAATCCTACTGGACTAATTAGATAAAAAGAGCTTTTAGCAAAACATGAAACCTTTTCATACTGCTTACTGTACTATATTAGGATCTTTATGACATAGAAGGGCTCAGCAATTGCAAGGACATCATTACATATATGCTAATTAAAAATTGACCAACCTTTCCTTCAGTGTCTGCTGTTACCTTCTCAACCTTGTTCCTGTTTAAAAATTTCTTCACCCATTCTTCTACTTGAACATTGAACTTCATGAAAGTCACATAGCAAAAATAAGCTGTCAGGAGAGTTAAGCTTTCCCACCACATGATCAAGTTATCCAGAAAAAAGATGATTAGCAAGATCAAGTCAACGATGTAAAAGGACACATCTCGAAAGAGTGGCCACCAAGTAAGGTTCAAGATCTCTCTAGAAAATAAAGCACACATTCCAATAACAAACAAGATATTGAACACAGCAGATCCCACTATTGTACCAATGCCAACATTGCTGTGGGATATAAACACTCCTATTAAAGAGGTGAAGAGTTCTGGGGCTGACCCACCAGCAGCCATGAAGGTTGCCCCTGCTACATCATCAGATATGGCCAGTTTTTCAATGATGACAGTCAAGGAAGGAACAAAGAACTCATCGCAGACTATGGCTAAGGCTATAAACATGTAAATCATTCCAATTATATGGAGGATCACTGCTCCCTTTCTTCTCTCCTCAAGAGAGAAAAGGTCCTTGGGGTATTCTCCCTTGGCATGATCATCTGTTGCATTGACGTGCTCATCTTCATATTTCATAGAAGGGTGTGGGTCTGGAGTGCCATTTTCATTCTCTTCCATGAAATCCAACAGAGTCCTTTGGTGCCCACGCACCAGGTTTTGGCTATCTAGTCTGCTGGCCAATGCCATGCTATGTGGTTCCATCTTGAAAAAGGCACTAATTGAAAGAGAGAAGGTACTAATGGCCACTACACTGACAAGAAGCCCTATAATTCTTATCAGTCTCAGTTTTTTCCTAACATTCAGGTGCTGTTTGCAACTGAACAGTGGTTCCTCCAAACACCACTCCTCCAAGATACCAGCAACAGTTTTTTTCTGAAGAGCCATTTTGTGTTCTTTGTGAGATGCTGAGGGATTCAGATGGATTGTTCCTTCATACTTTTCTTTCCAGCTTTGAAGTTAGAAGTGCTTTAAGAGTTTTTCCAGAATCAAGTACTTTTACTCTTCATATGAAGTATTTTCTTCATTTGTCTTAAAAGGACAAACAGGTATTATTAATATTAGTGAAACAGCATGGGATTAGAAGCTTCTAAAAAAGCATTTTACAGACGGGGTTAAATTTAAAATTTAAAGCAGAATATTACCAACTGTAACATAAAAGCCTATCACATCTCATCAATAAGTTTGTTTCAGCAGTAACCCTGTGGATAACAGTCTATCAGTACGCAGATCATTTTATGCCTCTCATATGCCTCTGAGCCACTGCTCTCAGTTGCTGACAAAAAAAACCCTAGTGGAAAGTAAAAACGGTCTCCAAACGTTGCATAAAATTTAAGAAACTACTATTTTAGTGCATACATCAACTACTATTTTAATGGATACACCTTCTGTAATTACTTTTTACCATGATCATGTAACATCCAAATCCCAAAAGCAGGAGCAACGATGTATGAAAAAGCAATCAAAGTGCTAACAAGCATCTCATCAGACCTTTAGGCAGCTGAGGCAGATTTAATTGAAATGTTAACGTGTGCATAGAGCAATGGTCATTGATATATAGGTAAAAGACTATACCATTGGAACAAGATCAAAATTAAGATGTAACACATCCATAGTTTCTTTAATTCCTCTGCAAAGTCGACTTAAGTTTATACAGAGACCTCAGCTTGATTCTGGCCAGACCTAGGACACTATCTTGGACTAGCTAAGACAAAATTTTCATTCACCTCTGGTTTTTTTTTTGGCTTATGTCACACATTCAGCTTTAAATGTAGGAAGTTACTAAGAATACCCAAGCGGTAAGTATCTTTTAAACGTGCTCCTCTTTAAGAGGATAGTTTAAATTTACGCAGGACTTGGTCCTGAAACAAATGAAACTGTGAGAAATTAAACTATGTGAGAACTACTCATGTATGTCAGAGCTAAGTATATTAAACCAACAGTACTATTAACACAGGAAAAAACCTCTGTACAGTAACAGGTGATTTGGTTACTGAATTTGAAGAACACATGTAATGTAGAAATTAGTTATGTATGCATTATGCATAGTAAGTTGCATTCTATACGACACAAAATATGAAATACTTTCTAAATAAAATTGTTAGTCCTTACTATTACAGTCAAAAAATAGTTTGTTACAGCACTTATTCAAGTAATTTGTGATAACAACTGAATACCAAACAACCTATTAATCAGTAGAACATTGATTCTGTATTCTCAAATACAGAATTACAACTATAACTTATAAACGTTATTAAGTCACGTGCAGTTTCCATCGATTTTTATAAACGGCTTCCGTACTAAGAAGATGTCATAGAGACACATCATCTGCAAGATACAGCACCTCAGTGGAGATATTTTATTTTCCACCTTAAAGTTGTTGCTCACCGGACTGCCATAAAGACAGTAAGCAGGAAAGACACCGGAACGGCACTACCGCTGCTGTGTGCGATTCCCGGCGGGTGGGCCGATCGCCCCACACCGTTACCAATCACAAGAATAGGGAACGGGGAAGCGCCCGGGCTGTCCTCTGCCCTGCAACTCTCACCGCAGCGCCCAGCCAGACCGCTCCCACACCGACACCCCATCCTCCGCCGGAGGGCGGC